AAATCGTAGTTAAAAGTATAAATTGAAGTGACAGTTCAGTTAGAAGTGAAGTGATGGAGGAGATAAAAATCAGTAAGGAGTTTAAGCTATTCAATGGCGAAAAATCCGGTGTGTGGATGTTCAGAATCCGTGAATTACTGATTGGACTTGACGTAATCAAAGTCGACTCAGAGCCTGAAATTCCTGGGACTAGGAGATGGAGAAAAGCTGAACGTATTGCAAGAAAGGCAATTGTTCAGCACCTTGGAGATGCATATCTGGGTTTTGCGAAACCCGGTCTCACAGGAAAATAAATCCGCGAGAGTCTCGACACAATCTACGAACACAAAAGTCTCCCCAGTCAACATTCTGTGCGAAAGAAGATACACTCATTGAAACTCCAAGGGGACACACCGGTGATAAGTCATCTCACTGAATTTGATGATCTGATTACAGAATTCATTGGTGCAGGTGGAAAAATGGATGAAGCGGACAAAGTGTCACTTGTTCTTAACAGTGCCCGACTGTTACAAAATTATTATTACTGCGCTTGAGATAATCAGTGAAGATCAGTTGACACTTGAGTACGTGAAGAAACATTTTTTGGGCTATGAAATAAAATTAAAAGCTAAAAGTAGTGACACAAGTTCCAAAGTATTGCATGTAGTGAGTGACAAGAATAATGAGAAAGACAATAAGACGTCACGCTTTCGAAGTTGAAATCTGAAGCGACGGAATTTTCATCGTGGATTCAAAAAGTGCAATCCTAAAAACAAAGGTTTCAAGGGAAAATGTTTTTATTGTGGCAAACCAGGACACACAAAGAATGAGTGCAGGCACTTTCTGAGGGCTCAAATGGAAGAAAAGAAAAGAGGAGGATAGCAGAATAAAGAAGGATCAAGACAAGGGAGACAGTAATCGGAGTGATTTGACCGATAACTTAATCGATTTGGAAACACCTATTGAAATTTCTGTTGCCAAGAATGGCTAGTACATAAGTGCAACGAAAAAGGGCGTACTATCTTTGACCACCAATAAGGGAATTGAAGGAACTCTGGAGGACGTTCTTGGGCCTCGCGATCCCGCACAACCTACTGTCGATCACGAGGATGCGAGAGGCTGGCTTGACGATTATATTTGATGAAAAGGGAGTACAGATAAGTAAAAATGGTAGTGTCTTGATAGAAGGTAAGCCAGAAAATAATTTATTTACGATTGACTTCAAAGTCGGTTCGAGAACAGTAAACGATACTGCCCATGCTAGCGTAAAAGATGATTATGAATTGTGGCACCGATGATTGGGTCATATAGGAAAATCTAAATTCCTTCACATGAAGACGAAAGAGATGGTGAAAGACTCTAAGTTAATAGAAAAAGTTACACCTAATGATAATCTTCGTGAAACATGTGTATTCGGCAAGCAGGCGTGTTTACAGTTCGGGAAAGAAAAAGACAGAGAGCATGTGAAAAGGCAGTTTCATAGTTGTTCATTGTACATTCGGATGTAGTAGGGCCGATCACTCCTCCTTCGGTAGATGGCAAAAATTATTTTGTGGTGTTTGTTGATCAGAGAACCCATTATTGCGTTACATATCCTTTGACATATAAATCTGAGGTATTCTCAGCTTTTAAAAACTTTGTAGCTAAAAGTGAAAGTCATTTCAATTTAAAAGTCGTGAATTTGTATAGCGATAATGGACGTGAATATCTATGAAATGAGATGAGAAAGTTGTAATGATTCTTTATATTGATAAAAATAGAGTCAAAATTTGAGCTTCAAAATACGATTGTGAATCTGCAATTCTTTAAATTCCTTGAAAGAGTTGATTAATTAATTTTAAGAAATTAAGAAAAATAACCATGGCCAGAATAAAAACGAACAATAAAAAAATTACACGTTCAGTAAGTACCAAATGATTCACAATCGTATTAAATAGTGCCAGAAGGATAATCACTATCAAAAATTCTCGAAGATAAATCAGACAGACATGAAACAAAAAAAAAACCATACCAATACCTGAGCTTTTTCGTTACGAGTTAAAGGTGAATTTTGAAAATGATGCTAGAGGAAAATCGAATGTTTTCAAGATTAAAGAATTAAGATACTTAAAACCATTAACAAGATCGATTCCGGTAAATAAACAATGTTAAATCCAGTAATTTTACTATTGCGTATATTTGACAATTGCCAATATTTATTGCGTCATCTTTACTTTAATAATATGTCACCAATATCATCGATTTTCTATATCTTTCCTTGGATTTTCTTGTCATCAAATTATCAAAATTATTAATTCGAGTTACATGGACAATATCATAAGAGTTATTATTATTATTATTAGCTTATCGCAATGTCAGATTATCACAATGTATCAATATCGATTTATAAAGAAAAAGTGTCGCCTTAAAATCGCATTATCACAAAAGAATAGAATCTTCAAAGTCTCCACAATTGTTATTATTATTTTTTTTATAAAGTTATCGCAAAATTCATAAACCAACTTAACTTAACTTAACTTCACTGGTCCAGTGAAGCGAAATTTGTAGAACGCGAATTTGAACGAGGAACGGTAAGTAAGGAAGGAATAATCAATTATGACCCGGAGGTCGATTGATTCTCCAAATCATTAGATCGCAAAGAAATCATGAATAAAATTCGAGAATGGCATTTCAACCTAGATACGGCAAGTCATGCGCGATGGTCGGCTACCGCTCGACGGCTATTGCTCTATTCGGCTTCCCCAAAAATCTCGGAAATTATTCTAACTTCTTCGAAAAACGAATTCCAGATGAAATATAGAAAATAATTTATTTACTTTTCTTAGATTTAACGGGAATACGTAACATTCCCAAGCTCACTATGTGCTGTGGCTTACGATCCATCGAGAAAACCCAGGAGCAGCAGCTCTCTGAGTTCCTCGATAGACTTTCTCCCAAAAAGGGAAGGCCAGCTTGGGGTCACTGACATCACATCCCATCGTATCGATATTAATGGTCATCCTCCCATTCGGCAACGGCCGTACCATACCACTCCCGCCATTAGGGAAATCATGTGGAAGGAGGCCCAAGAGATGTTAGAAAATAACATCATTGAGCCCTCCCAAAGTGACTGGTGTAATCCGATTGTCATGGTCAAGAAACCAAATGGCAAATATCGGTTCTGTATCGATTTCCGCAAGGTGAACGCGGTCACAAAGAAAGACGCCTATCCGGTCCCTAATATGACGGGTATACTGGACGAATTGCGCCAAGCGCGCTATATGTATAACGATGCTCGATCTCAATCAAGTGTATTTCCAGATTCCTCTGCATCCCGACTCACGGGAAATCAGCGCCTTCGTGGTCCCGGGTCGTGGCTGATACCATTTTCTTCGCATGCCTTACGGCTTGACGAATGCTCCGGCCACCTTCCAGCGTCTTTTAGACCGGTGAGTGGGTCAGGACCTTTATCCCAAGGTTTTCGCATACCTCGACAATATCATTATCGTATCCGAAACCTTTGGGAATACCTCAATTATCTTCAGACAGCCCTCGGGAGGATCACGGCCGCTGGCCTCACGATCAACCGAGAGAAAAGCGAATTCTGTTGCTCTGAGGTCAACTACTTGGGGTTCATTGTCAACAGTTCCGGTCTGCAAGTAGACCCGGAGAAGATCGCCCCTGTTCTCAAATTTCGGCAACCGCGGAATTTGAAGCAGTTAAGGCGTTTCCTCGGTATGGCCTCATGGTACCGACGGTTTATCCCGCAGTTTGCTATAATTGCGGAGCCTCTCACCCGTCTGACGCGCAAGAGTCAGGCGTGGGCATGGGCTGAAGCTCAGGATGTTGCTTTCAATGCATTGAAGATGCACCTGACTTCGTCCCCAACGCTGGCTTGCCCGAATTTCGAATTACCGTTCTCCCTCCAGACCGATGCCAGCTTGGTAGGTCTCGGTGCCATCTTGATGCAAGTCATAGATGGCGAGGAACGGGTCATCGTCTACGCAAGTAGGGCGCTCACTTCCGCCGAGAAGAAATACACTGTAACCGAGTTAGAGTGTCTCGCCGTCATTTGGTCCATCGCCAAATTCCGGTGTTACCTGGAAGGTTACTCTTTCACGGGTATCATCGATTACAGTAGCTTGCGCTTGTTGCATAACCTGCGTAACCCTACTGGTCGACTCGCTCGATGGGCCCTCGGCCTTCTCGAATATGATGTCCCCATTGTCCACCGGAAAGTTGCACTGCACCACGTTCCCGATGCGTTATCCCGCGCACCGGAAGGTGAAAGCGAGGACTACGAGACTATCGAGCTCGTCACAACCTCCACTGATAGGTGGTATTCACGCAAATATCGTAACGTTCAGCGTGCTCCCGATTTTTTTCCTGACTGGAAAATTATGGACGGGCGGTCATGCACCCATCGTCCCTCCAACTTCGTCACGTTGGAGATAGTCGACCTCGATGCCTGGAAGCTTGTCCTTTCTCGCGAGCTACGCTCACAAGCGATTTCGCAGTGTCACGAGTTACCTCAAGCTGGCCACTTGGGGGTCGACAACACTTATCGCCGTCTGTACGTGTCATATTATTGGCCCAATATGTTCCGAGACATGGTGTCCTTCGTCAGCTATTGTGGGCCTTGTCAGCGTTGTAAGGTTGAGAACGCCTTGCCACGCGGACACATAGGCCGGCGTGTTATCCAAGGTCCCTGGACGACCGTGGCCGCCGACATCGTCGGTTCGATCACTTCCAGCAAATCGGCATATTCCTATGTGCTGGTGCTTCAAGACCTATTCACTAAGTGGATCGAGGTCATCCCCCTCCGCCGAGCCACTGGTAAGGAAATCCAGAAGCAGGTGGAAAATGTAATCATTTCGCTCTGGGGAAGCCCCCCCCCCCGCGTGTTTTTCAACGATAACGGTACTGGATTCGTTAATCGGGAGATCCAACCTCTAGCAGAGCGTACGGGGATGAGGCACGAGACATCTCCCCCCTATCATCCCCAGGCTAATCCAGTCGAGCGGGTTAATCTTGTATTGAAGATGACGTTGAGGGCCTTCATGGAGGCAGATCACCGAACGTGGGACAGCCATCTGCACGAATTCCGTTTTGCCTTCAATACAGCGGAGCACAGCTCCATCCAGACGAGTCCAACATTTGCGAATTTCGGCAGAAATCCTATTGCTGCGGTATCCCTTCGATGCGAGCTCGAAGGAGACGTTGAGATAATCCCTGGTGAATCCCAAGAATGGGTCGAAAGGATGCGGAAACTGGAGGTGCTCCGGAAAATCCTCATTCACCCCGTGCAGGAATCCGCTGATAAGCAGGCCCGGGCTGCTGTTGTTATCACTACAATCTCCGTCGACGAGACGTTGAGTTCCAAGAGGGTGACCTCGTCATGAGACGTTCCCATCCCCTATCGAATGCGGTCAAGCGTTTCTCCGTGACCCTTGTGCCACCATTCGAAGGTCCTTTCATCGTCCATAAAAAGGTTTTCTGAGTTCGTTATAAACTTGCGGACTTCTCAGGGGAAAGTCAGGGGGAATCTTCGATACAGGACCTTAAACCATATCGACCCCCTCTTGAGCACCCATGAAATTTCAGGTTAACCCTCCGTGATACGTTCACGGCCCGAAACGAATCCACCTAAGTCATGGCCGAACGACACCTCGACCCTATAACGAGATACCGTTCACCCCTCCCCCGAAAGGGCGGTAATTTTCCTGAAAAACTTTCCGTATCCCCTCTCTTGTTACAGAGTTCATCACCGGAGGTCACCACCACTACCAGGGCAGAATGCCTGACTGCGGACCTTACGGAGAGCCCACCACCTTCACCACCTCCAGGCTTGGAAGCCAAGGACGAGCCAGCGCCCACCCTCAGTCAGCAAGCGGCGTTGATGAATGCCCAGCTAGGCCTGGAGTGTGTCCTGTATCAGGAGGGAATCCCCGTCGAAGACCTCGATGATTATTCGTTTCCGAAAGATGAGGCGGTCGACCAGCTGGGCTCACCTCCTTGCCCACCGCGCTACTTACCAGAGACGGGGGCGATTTCTCCGCCATCCACGGCTGCACTCGTCCACCCGAATTCAGGACTAACCCCTCGAAGGGAACAACCCGGGCCACCCCTTCGCTTCCCACATTTCTGGGATCCTGTCGGCCCCTGGCTCGCTGACATCAGGAGCATTGAGAGGACGATTCCAGGTTTCGCTGACGCCCTGTCCGCCTGCTCCCTCGCTCTACTCCAGCAGCTAACAAACTTGAGGTATGAGATCCCCCCTCTTCCATTGGGATCTTTGGAGACCACCACCGCGGACGAGAGGGAGGAAGTTGTTATCCGCGACGTACAGTCGGTGGAACAGTCTGGAGGCCCCACTGCCTCGTCGGTTCCAGACCTCACGTCTGAGTCATCCGATACCCCGTCGGTCCCCTTAAGTCCACTAGGCCTCGACTTGCAGTCTGGCTCTTCAAGCTCCTCGAGCTCCAGCACATCCTCCTCGGATTCAAGAAGCTCCATCGAGACATGTTTGGAAGCAGAGGACGGAGATCCAGGTCGTCTAACTGGTTTAGTAGAATCATAAAAATCCCTACCACATTCCTCCACGGGCGTATAGGTACTCCAGGTCACTCCTATCCGGAGCCCAGAGAGTAGTGTCGCCGAATTCCTAGAACTCGACAATCAGGAGGAATTCTCGTTGGCCGGCACAACCCCGGGACCTACCTTACTTCCGACTCCATCACCCCCTAATGTGGAGTCGAGTCTGCAGGATCCCCCGCTCACGAACACGAGTGTCAGCGAGAAAAACCATCCTGGTCAGCCCCCGGAAGTCAGAGATGGCCAGGGAACCTCCGCCGCAGCTACCCTGGGTATACCTCCGGTGATGACATCATCTCCGACGAAGGCACCTCAGGTGCCCCTGAGCCCGCCTCCCTTGGCTCCACCTCCGGGGGGGTCAGCCGAACAACAACCCCTCCAGGCCACTCCGTCCACGCAGGGTAGCCCCCCGACACCAGCAGAGATCGGCGCGACCACTCCGACGGTCACCACTGCCAACATGCCAATAGCTGTTGCGAATAGTCCCAGAGGATTGAGTACTCGGCCAAGCACCGACCATCAAGAGGGAACTAGGACAAAGCGCGTTAGTGGCCCACCAGACCACTAACGCGCATATGATTACGTGACATTTCATACGTAACATTTTTCATGGGGGTTAAAAATGCCTATTCCCTTCGCCCTTCTTCCCCTGAATCTAATTAAACTCAAAAATGCAAAAATCTATGGGCGCCAGGTGATCTTCAACCGGAGTCGCCAAACCGGAGGAGTCTACAAAAATCAATTCTAACTAATTCCAAAATCTCAAAAAGGTACTCAAAAAGGGAGAAAACTAGATTTCTGGGGAAAGGTAACGGTCCTTGGTTCGCTCAGTGCGCTAGGTTGTGGAGACAGAGGCGGATTTCAGGTGGAGAGTGGTATTGGCTGGTCAAAACTACAAAAAAAACAAATCTACATCGTCCTTACGTGTTTCACTATTGAAATTTGTAAAAATTATTAATTTGCATGATTTTCTGTTCGTATTGATCTTACCAAAAAAAAAAATACATATTTATAACGATAACTGATTAAACTGCAAATAATGAATTGAAAATTATCTTTTGAATTTTACTATATAATCCGAAAATAATACTTTATTCGATTAACTCGGCTGCAAGTGAGGTCATTAAATTCCTCATACGGTAATACAATAATATTGACTAATCTCGAAATACTCAAGAATACCGAGAAATGAGGGGAAAGGTATGCGAATCCCCGTGAGAGTGAGAGAGAGAAAAATCTAAACCCAGCGGTATACATACAACGTACTGCGGGGAACTAAAAACTCACTAAAACTAAACTCGCCGTAGCGGAAAATCGGTAAAGTGGATTTTCAAAAACCCAAGGCCAACTTGCTCGGGAAGGACTCGCGGAGCCCATGAAATCAAAATTATAATTTTGTGATCATTGGGAGCCACTCCGGATTAATGTACATCCGGATGGAAATTTGAACGAGGGAACACTTACGGGAAGCGAGAGTCGCCACTCGTTGGCGCGTTAGCGGGGTGCCGCGAGGGGGAAAACTCTACGCAATTCATACGTATGGGAAAATAGAGATACTCCTCCTAGAGCCCACACACCCAAAACGTGTTAAAACCCACCCAACTTAAAAATTTCCCTTGGTCTCTTTTTTCCATGGTCCATTTTTTCCGGGATTCTAATTAAACACACTTACTGAACTCGAAAATCATCTCAAAAAGATGACCGGGATAAATCGGAATCCGTGAGGAGAACTCGGTACCAACCCGATTTGGGTGGACTAGCCGATCAAAAATCGGAGGGACACGCGGATAAAAATTCGGGATTAGGGATTACCCCTGCTCGCGCAGAACAAACGCAAAAATAATAATTTCGGCGTTGTTGGCCGCTCAACAAAAATAAGTATTTGCAACTAAAATGACTTATGAGCGATTAGCGTCCTCTTAAATCTCCCCCAACACCGAGCCAGACCCTGCCGGACGTCACATCGGAGATAATGTCCTTCCTCGTTCGTATGCAGCAGCATTCAGCCGCCTCCACTCTAGGAGCGGGGAGGGTACCTGGTACCCCAGGCTCTGGCAGGGGGTTCTCCTGAAGGCAGGGGAGGCTGCTGTGCTGGTGCCTATTGGGCGGCTGACTGCCCCGCTGCCCCCAACACCGAGCCAGACCCTGCCGGACGTCACATCGGAGATAATGTCCTTCCTCGTTCGTATGCAGCAGCATTCAGCCGCCGAATTATTTTTGTTGAGCGGCCAACAACGCCGAAATTATTATTTTTAAGTTTGTTCTTCGCGAGCCGCTCAAATGGCGAAACGGATATTTTCTTTCTTTGGGCGGTTGAGATACCGAAGTCATTATTTTTGTTTTCATTTTTTTCTTTTTGTGAGCGGCAGAGAGCCAAAAGTTTTTTGTCGACAAACCGCGTCGTTTTTTTTCTCTCTTATAAGACGAAATGATAATTCTCACTATTATTCCTTTGTATTTTCTTTGCTCCCCGCCAGGCACGGTGGAAGTATGAACTGAAGGACGAATCTGTGTTCATAATATTTTGATACTTAGTCTAGGATACCGCTCATCATATTAGGAGTGCGGAAATGACGAAATATTATCAGAAATATAGTAGTATTAAGTCCTCATATTTTTGAGAGTTTGTTTTCCGACCCCCTACGTCACGGCGTGGGTTCGGGTATTTTTCTGGGTCCAGTAAGGATGCAGAGTACATTTCCCAGAACCGAAGGATGACTAGACGAAGGACACAGCCACAGATCCATAACATCAAGGTATAGCCGGATGAGACGGATAGACAAAGGAGGGCAGTGTAACGAACTTGTGGGGATGTTCGTTAGGGGCACCATTACGACCTGATGAACCACCAATTCCGCGGCATAATCCGGTGAACCGTCGGTAAATAATTCGGGTGAGAGAGAGAGAATTTCTGTTTCCCACTTCGGTGGAGTTTTTGTGTTGAAGTCGACCCATTTTGAATGGAGTTGAGTCGAGAGTTTCCCATTTCGATGGAGGATTTTGAGCTTAGTTGTTTCCGTTTCGATGAAGAATTTTGAGTCTAGTATTTCCCATTCCGGTGGAGAATTTTACGTTTAGAGTTCTCCGTATAGGTGGAGATTTGAGGTCTAGGATTTTCTCCCTCATGAGGTGGGGACGATTTTTTTTTCATGATCGGTAAATGATTCTTAAGGGCCCATAGATTGATTGAGAAGAAGCCTTTCATAACTCTCGCGGAAATCAAATAAGACTAATTGAAATATTAGCGCTCCATAAATTTCGTGGATATTACGGGCGGTGAATATTACGAGGGGTGGATATTACGGGGAAAAATGGGTATTCTTTTGAGTTTTCATGGAAGGTCACATGGGGCAAGTGCAACACCCTTGACCCCCGTGAATTGCCGGGTGCCTTAGAGTTTCGGGGAGAAAATGTTAATTATTTTAAATAAAGGTTATTAATAAAACATTATTATCTTTGCCTCGTAAATCCCGGAGACCGATCCGTGAGACGCATCTTAAATCCTAAAGAATCGATCGAGCCTCCATTCGCTCGAAAATAATTAATGAAAAGTGACTTAGTTGTGAATTAGCGAGTTTACACCTTTGATTTTCCCCGAATTAATTAATTAATTAATTTGGTGGCTCCCTCGAGGCTTACACCTGTGAGGAGAAAACGTCTCCACCAATCAGAGCGCAGCTCGGTTGGTCGGAAGCGTCGAGACCCGGAGTGTCGCAGCACTGACCTCCGCAATCAGTTCCGCGTTGACCGCCATCAATCATTAGTCGCGTGCGAATTTATGTGTGTGCCCACCCAACGTATTTGTGCCACTCGGGTTATTGTGTCTTTTTGAGAAATTGGAAGGCCTAAAAGATGGTCCGTAAGGGGGAGAGGACAACCAAGCGTCCAGATAAGGTGAGTTTTCTGGAATTTTTCCCATAATTTCGAGCCATTTCCTGATGGCGTCGTGCCCCATTTATTATGGCGGTAGCCCTCTTGTGGCCCTCAGCCACGTGGAGTGGTTGATCACCCCTTTAGTCGTATTTAGTGGTCCTGATTGGGCATTTTTAGGGGTAATCCCTTATCCCGGATTTTTATCCGCGTGTCCCTCCAATTTCTGATCGGCTATTCCACCCAAATCGGGTTGGTACGAGTTCTGCTCGCGACTTCCGGTTTATCCCGGTCATCTTTTTGAGATAATTTTCGGATTCAATGAGTGTGTTTGGTTACCAGTGGAATCGTTACGTATTTTCCCAGGCGAAATCTGACGATTTTCGACTTGGGCTATTTCTTTCTCGCTCGCTCCTATGGCGAGGAGTATCTCTATTTTTCCCTACGTATAAATTGCGTAGTTTTCCACTTGCAGCTCCCCGCTATTGCGCCAACGGGTGGCTCTCGCTTCCCGTAAGTGTTCCCTCCTTCAAATTTCCCTCCTCATGTAAATTAATCCGGAGTGGCTCCCAATGATACCAAAATTATAATTTTGGTTTCATGGGCTTCGCTAGACCTTCCCGAGAAAGTTGGTTTTGGGATTTTGACAATTCACTCTACCGATTTTCCGCTACGGCGAGATTAGTTTTAGTGAGTTTTTAGTTTCTTCCGCCGTACGTTATACGTATACGGATGGGTTCATTTCCTCTCTCTCTCACTCTCACGGGGATTCGTATACCTTTCCCCCAGTTCTCAGAATTCTCGAGTATTGATGACCTCACTTTGTAGCCGAATTAATCAATATTATCGTCGGATTACATAGTTCAATGCAAATTATTATTTTCAAGTTATTATTTGCAGTTTAATCAGCTATTGTTCTAAATATATTTTTTTTGTAAGATATGAAGAGAAAATGATGTAAATTAATAATTTTTACAAATTTCAATAGTGAAACACGTAAGGACGATGTTGATTTCTTGGTTTTTTTTTTTGTCGTTTTGACCACCCAATACCCGTCTCCACCTGAAATCCACTCCTCTCTCCACAACCTAAGCACACTGACCGAACCAAGGACCGTTACCTTTCCCCAGAAATCTAGTTTTCTCCCTTTTTGGAATACCTTTTTGAGATTTTCGAATTAGTTTGAATTGATTTTGTAGACTCCTCCGGTTTGGTGATTCCGGTTAAAGATCACCTGGCGCCCATAGATTTTTGCATTTTTGAGTTTAATTAGATTCAGGGGAAGAAGAGCGAAGGTAATAGGCATTTTTAACCCCCATGAGAAATGTTACGTTACAAATGTATTATAAAATGGGAATTAAGTCGCAATTTCGAAGCCTCAATTCGAGTGGGGTCAAATGAAACCCGGTGCATCAAAATCCCAAAAATTCTCAAATTCGCAAAATTTCGAAACGAAAAATTCTTAAAGAAACGCAAAAATTTCAACTAACCAAAAATTTTCGCACCCAATAACCTCGCTGTGCGGGAAAAGCGGCAAGACAAGTCACCAAAATTTCGACTAAGTGATAGCCGTCTATTTGTCAAGAAACCTTAGAATATCCATCCCCAGCCTAGAGGCCGCAGATGAACAATTCGAAGGATTTTCAACACTGACGGTGATTTTAAGGAAAACACCTTGTGCACTGAATAAACTTCACT